CAGCCTGACCCCGCCCCCAGCGCAGGCCCCGCCCCCCAGAAACAGGTCACCTGCACAGGTAACCCGCAACTGTCCTTTCCTGCTGTCTGACCTAAATGCTTCAGTTAGAGCGGTTCATGTGTGGGAGAATTGTTGAGAAGATAAAAGTGTTTTTCATTCTTTAAATTAAAAAAGTATAGAATTAATTTGTTAAGCAAATTCAATGAGGTTTGATTACGATTGTTTTCTTTGGAGCGTATCTGCAGACTCTGCTGCAAAGATTTGTTTTAGAAAAATATACTGTTTTGATTTTGCTCAAACTGTACATATTTAAAACAGTGAAGGTATAATAAGCTTGTGTTTCCAGCTGTACTTTAATTTCTAAATAAAAGTTGCTTATCAAGCTTCAGCAGGTCTGTGGGCCCGAAGCATCAGGGTTGAGAAACCTGCATAAAATGTGCTGCCTTTCCCAAATCACATCTCCTTGTGGATAAACAGAAAGTCTCCAGGTTTGAAAAACAAGCTTCCAGAAAAATAGATGGAATAACATCTAAATTATATTATTTTCCAGGCTATAACAATTTCTAAATAAATTTGACTTATTTTCCAGTGCTTTTTTTCCCACTTCTTGTCCCATTTTTTGACTAATGCGCCCTATAATCTAGAGTGACATAAAGTCAGGAAAATATTTTATAAAGAGGGAAACAGCTCTTTACCATAGATAAAATAATAATCCAACTTTAGCTGGAGACCATTTTCTACATCTGGACAAAGTGGAAAAATTAATCTTTGTGTTAAAATTTCCTTTTTGGTTCTTATTGGAATAAAGTCCAGTCATTTCTGAACTGAAAGAAGAAAAACTTGAAAGTTTTACTCCAATAATTTTCCCAGGAATGTGATCTACTGCCATTTCTAAAAACAAATAAGGCTCAAAAATCTTAAACTCTTAAATTCTTTTCTCGGATTTTAAGCTCCTGATTGTTTGAATGGGATTTATCTTGAATCCTGTTCTGCATAACAAACACATACAGAAGAATGAACCAAAGAAATAAAAAGTATAACCCTGAACAAAATGCTTAAATAATGGTGATTAGTATACAAAATAAAAACTATTAATACATCCTCAACAGAAGGCAGTGTTGAGAAATTAAGCGCTTCCCAAAACACTTGTTTGGAAAGTTCTGGTTCTGTGAGGATTTTCCTCTTCAAAACATGTTTCATCCCGTTTTCCGAGAAGAAAATCCAGACAGTGATTGGAGTGTTCTGTCCAGCAGAGGGCACCAGCGCGGAGGTGATGTGTCGTGAGGGTGAAGGCCAGCAGGGGGCAGAGCAACATCCTCAGGGGGAGAAGTTTGGGATGGTGGGACGGAACAGTCTGGACGTCTTCTCTCCTCCTCGCGAAGGTCAAAAAATCTAATTTTTATAAATTAACATTTATTTCTGAATTTATATTTACTTTAATAAGACAGAAAATATAAAATCAGTACAGAACTTTCTTAAGATTGCATTCTGTGTAATGGCCAGCAGAGGGCATCTCAAGCCTTTCTTCTGTTGTGTAAATTTGGGAAAATTTTACAATTTCCATGATTAATATGTTAAAGGCCATCACAGCACAATGGTGGTTTGTTCTGCTGCTAATAATTATGAAGCTGTCTCACATTTTCTTTCTCTGTTTAACTTTTAAATCTACATTTTTATGCTCCATCCCAGCTGCAGACAGATGTGTTTAATTTGGTTTCTCTGCTGCTGCTGCAGGTCCAGACCCAGGGACTCAGGGCGTAGTAGGAGACGCTTCCTTTGGAAGATCACAGGGTACCGCAGGACGCATCACTTCCTTCCACCTCCTCATAATTTGTCTGGTTCTGGATTAACGCCCTGTCTGTGTTTCCATAGTTACCGGTGTGGAGAGCGAAGGTCAGCAGCTGGTGGGACGGGCCAGCCTGGACATCTTCTCTCCGGTCAGAGAAGGTCAGAGTTTTACTGGAAACCTTGTTCTGATGCGAGTTTTCAGCAGATTAATCTACATGTGTTTGCCTGTTGCCATGGCGATGACCTCTCTGGCTGCTGTCAGACTCTCACTCAGGTGGTGGCTCACAGCGACGGACGCCCCTGGGGACCCACCGGGGCGCCACTGGGGGCCGGTCCTACAGCCCGCTGTCCATCTTCCTGTCCCCGCAGACGATCAAAGAGGAAGAGCCGACCAACGCCGCCGCTGCCGCCGCCGCCGCCGGCTTTGAGCCATCTGACAGGAAGGTGATGACCATATTTAGTCAGGAGGATTACCAAACTTTTTCTTCAACAAGCATTAAGAAACCTACAGAAAACTCTACAAAATGTAAACAAACATCAGCTTTTACAGTGTTTTTTTATTTATTATTCAATAATTATTACATTAATTTAGCATAAATGCTGATTTTAGATGGTCATGTGTTCTTTTTTATCAGATAAATATTTTATGACTTTATTACCAGATCAAAAGAAAACATGTAATATTTCACATTAATCACATAACATTTTATTTTATTCTCCCAGTCCTTCTGGTCTTTTTCTTGTCTGAATCTTTTCCATTTTCTGATTGCGCCGTTAGTTTGACGAGCAAAGATGAATTTAGCTGGCAGCCAATCAGAAAATGAGCGTCAGAAATAATTATTTTAACTTGTATTTTAAAAAGATTGTTGTACAATAAAAATGATGATAAATTTAAAAATAAAAGCTTTTTTAAAAATGTTTTTTCTCATCTTCTCCAACTTTCTGAGGCCCCCACTTTGATAAACTCTGGTCTGAAGCAAAGGTTTGACCTCTGACCTCTGTTGTTTCAGCCTGAGAGGAGCAGTGGCTCCAGCCAGGAAGGGGAAGCTCCGACTCTGCCCACCACAACCCAGCAGACCAATCAGAGTCAGGCGGTGACGCCTTTCTACACTCCAGAACCGAGCCTCCGTGGAGCCAACGGCATTCAGACTCAGCTCAGTTACGGCTCATCTGCCGCCGCAGCAGCAGGTACAGCTTGGTTTCCATGGTTACGGCATCAGTCTGGGTCCATTTCTAATATCCTGATTCCTGCGTTAAGCTTCAGGTTCAGCTGCGATGGCAGCGGCTTGCTCGTCTCTGTCCCAGAACATCGCAGACGTGGTCGGACAGGACGGCGCCGCTCCGCTCACGTCCCTGCAGATCCACTTCATCCAGAACATGATCCACGAAACGCTGGAGGAGTTCAGGTGTCCAAACTTTTTATCACTTGCACTCAAAACTATTAGCGGGTCAAAAATAAAATCATTTTTAAAAACTAAAAAAAACAACATTTTTTTATTTACTCAACAATAAATTAAGCATAAGCTATCTATATTAAACATTTTTTGTAGGAATGGTGTTGATAGAAAACTTTAACTGTTGTATGTTTTTCTTCTTTAATGAAAGGCACCCAGTTATTTTTGAAGAATCCTGAGAAACATTTTCTATTTTCAGCAATAAAAACAGAATCTAGTTCAGTCTCCATCTGAAAACACCTGCTGTATGTAGCCAAGTCTTAATACAGCAATTAAAAGCAGGCTGTGGTTCACCAAGGTTTACTTTAAAGTTTGTCGATGAGTAGATATGGTCTTAGTCGCCATGACAACAGAAGGAAACCAGAAAGGTTGGAAAAGTTGATTGCTTTGTGTTGCATCTAACATTTTTCTAAGTAGATTTTAATTTAAAAGTTGTATTTTTGTCCTAATTTATTCTTGAATTGTGGTTGGGGGGAGGTTGCAAATAAATCAGTCCAGGGACCGTAAATGGCCCCCGCTCCCCACTTTGACCAACGTTAGTTGAAAAGCTTCCTCACCTGAGCAGAAAACTGGAAAACGCTGAATTTAAAGGTTGTTTTTTTCCTGTGACGTTAGGACCGCCTGTCACCAGGACATCCTCAACCTGCAGGTGGAAATGATCCGGCAGTTTTACATCCAGCTGGTAAAAGCTTTTCATTCTGAGGATTTATGTTCAATTTGGTCCTTTTATTTAGCTAAAACCGGTGACGTTCATTTGACATGTTGTTCCAGACGGAGATCCACGGTCTGATTGAGAAATATTCTGTCAACGAGTCTCTGGTGGAGGAGATCGAGAGGCTGCGGGAGGAAAACCGCCAGCTCAAAGCGAACTACTGAGCTGCTGTCATCCAGCCTTTAGCCCCGAGTTGAGTCTGACAGGCTGCAGTGCCTTCATCCCAAACTGCTTATTCTGTTTGTCTGCATCAAAATCAGTAAATGACCGACAGAAACCAGCATTTTGACTCAACGTGTTATGTTGTAATTTAATATTTTGTCTGTTGATGCATGAAATTGTGAGCGGTTCGTCTGTGTGTTTGTGTTTTTATCAAGAAACATCTTGGGTGAAAAATAGAGAATTGTAAAAGAGAAGCTGTTTTTCCACTACAAATTAAATTTGTTCGGAAGTTTCTTAATATGAATCTTAAATAAATTGACTTATTTAAAAACAATCTGGAGAGTCATCTGTCACTTGTAATTAACTAAAACTAGAAGTTTACATACACCAAATCAAGACATGCAACTTTTTTTCCTCTAAAGTTAAAACAAACTTTTCTTGTTTTAGGTCAGAATTACCAGTGTTATTTGTATTTGTTAAATGCCACAATAATGAGAATCTCATATGTATTTATTACTATTAAAAATCAGAAGTTTACATTTAACGCTTTTATTTCAATTAAATTTGAGTTTTGGTCAGAGTTTGGAGGATTATCATCCAAACCTTCGGGACTCTGTCCCCAACGTCTGGGTTTTCTATTAACATGCGATTCATTTCGATTAAAAAAATGTAATTGAGTCCCACCACTACATACTTTATAGTGCTACTCAAGTACAATTAAAACGTATGGCATATTTACTAAAACTACTCGTAGAATTACGTTTAACAAGTTAATGTAATTAGTTACGCTTCAAAACTTATTAGTTTCACGTTCGTCACATTTATTTTTAGACGTTTTGGTCAGTGTTTGGAAGATTACCATCCAACCTTCGCGGCTCTTTGATTCTCAGCTGTCTGTACCAGTTTTATCGTCGTCGGCCTTTTTGTGTCCGTTTCAGGAGGTCACCATCTTGATATTCGCTACTCTTTGGTTGTTTACTCGGAGTTCCAGATTCTGCTTGTTTTCAAGGTTCAGATTTACAGACAAAGTTTGAACTTTAAATCAGCCTGTCTGAGCGGTCCACCCCAAGTTTATTTTCCACACAAACGGTTGCAAACAGGGCGAACCGAACCATTTTCCGGGTTTAACCGGGTTAAAGTTCGCCTTCGGTTCACCGGAGAGTCCGGAGGTCACCTGGACAGGTGAGAAGCTGCTGGTTTTAACTGGACAGAGTAGTCATTTTGTAACTATCCTGAGTCCAACTGAACCAACTGTGTGAACTTCCTGCTCGAACAGCTGTTTAACCTTCACCGTAGTACAAAGATATCCTTTTACATGTAATCTGAGCGAACCGAACGCCGTCTCTACTGCAGAGAGAACATGTATGGTGCAGAAATGCAAAAATATTGACTTATTTTCTGGTCCATTTCAACAGAATCTTCAGATATATTCATGCCGTTTTGTTTCGCAGCTCTTTGGATGATGGCCAACCCTCTGCGGTCTGAGGTGGTTCGGCTCTACAAGAACGTGAGTTTTCAGTTCTACATTATTAACCAATCAGTTGACAGATTATCAGTGAAGTCACTAAGGTGAAGACGCAGAACAGCCAATAAGCTTCCTGTGATTTCTATTCATTTAATAAATGGAGAGTTTGTGTTAGGCTCGGAGTGAATCAGAGGTCCAAATGTCACGGTTCTGTTGCACTTTAACTTTTCTCTCATGATCATCAAGCAAAATATGACCCCTTATTCTAGTTCTGATGTAATAAAACAACCTGAGACAACACAAAGATGAAGGCGGTTTACAGGTGACCTGATATGCTTATTTGAACATGTTAGGTCTTGTTAGTCTGCTCAGTTCTCCTTATTTTGAGCTATTTTAGGGCTCTTGTAACTTTAAATCCAAATAAGCTGCTGCTGGCTACATCACTAACCAAGGGTTTTACACTGACATGTGAAAATGGCTGCAAGTGGATAAACAGTTACACTGTACAACCGTACATCTTTGAAAAGCAGAAATAGAAACTCCGGAACAACCAACAAGAATTTAGCAAGTAGTTTCTGAATGGTAAGTCCAGAACAAAACACTTCTCTTTTCCAGCAGCCATTGTACAGTGCATACAGTGGTAAAAGCAGCTGACCAAACATGCTGGAACTCAGCTAGGGTTGCTAGGTAACCGGTGGGGTTCTGCCAGGGTTGCTAGGTAATGAGCAGAGTTTTTCTAGGGTTGCTAGATTTATTAGGGTTTTTTTTTTTTTTAATGGCTCATTTTCCAGACACCAAAAATGTTTTTACTTATTGCCAAAAAACAGCTGGGTGTTTTTAGAAGCAGTTGAGACCAAAATGGAAGTACAAAAAATATGCGAAATATGAATATGTCCCCTTTAAATTTAATTCACCAATCTTCATCCTCAGCTCCTCTACCTCGGCCGGGAATACCCGAAAGGCGGTGACTACTTCAGGGACCGTCTGAGAGCGGCGTTTACCAAGAACAAGTCGGTCCAGGACCCAGAGCAGATCAAGGCCATGATCGCCCGGGGGGAGTACGTGGCGCGGGAGCTGGAGGCGCTCTACTACCTGAGGAAGTACCGGGCGATGAAGAAGCGTTACTACGAGGAGTGAAGACGCTCCGCAAAGACTCACATAGAAAAAAAGAAAATAGAAACATTTTTATTTAAGAACAGATCAAACAACAGCAGCTTCAACTGACCCTGCAGAGTTTAATATATATAAAAAAAAATACAAAGGGAATAACAGTCTAAAAATAATGGATCAGTTATTCTTTAGAAAACGGGGAGGAGTTTCGGGTCACAGCGTAGGGGGCGCTAGAGAGTCTCCATCAGCCAGGTTGGCCCTGCAGATAGGACAGGTGGAGTTGTCCTGTCAGGGGGAAACAGGCAGGTTAATACAGAGATGTTCATCACAGACAGACATCTCACTCTGTTAGAAAATCAGCAGGGTTTATCTAAAGCAGGCGTGTCCAAACGTTTTGTTATATGAGAAAAAACTGTTGAGTCAGACAAAAAAAAATTAAAAATCAAGCAAATAAAGTAGTCTTTTTTTGTTTTGTTATTCTTTGCAAGTTTACTGTACGAACAATTTAGGGGGAAACAGTGATTAAAAGCTTTACATAAAAGAGAAAACACAATTAAGGCTGAAACGATTAACCGTGATTAATTGATTATTTAAATAATATAAATATATAATAATAATACAGACTCAAAAGAAGGACATTTGCTGAATAAAGAAGATCTTCAGACAATTAAACCCAAACTGTATAAAAAGATACTCATTTTGCTTTTAAGGTGAAAAATCTTTTCTATCTGTAAATGTGTTACAAAGAACTCATCAACTAGCATTGGTTTAGCTTCACCTGGTTCAAATTCTGTAAAATAAACAAATCTTCAATTCAGCACCTTTATATTCCAATTACTAATCAGTTAATTGATAAGTCCAGCAGAACTGGATGAGCTTTTTATGTTAGAAGTATTTTTTTAGCTGCAACTGATCAGCAGAATAATATACTGCTGCATTTTAGGTAATAAAATGTTTTCCTTTTCACTAAACGGAACTGAATTGTTTATTCACATTTTCTAATGCATTTATAATGTGTAAAAAAGGCTCAAGTGTTTAAATGAAAACCCTGGAAAATGTGAGATTAATCGTCAGATTAATCGATAAATTACTAAAATAACCGTTATGCATTCTACATTTTAAGGGTCTGGAGATAATTTAGCAACTTGACAATAAAAACTTGGGTGTTTGTTTCTCTGTGCCTGTACCTTTAACCACCTGTCGATGCATTGGACGTGGTAGTCATGGAAACAGGGCAGCATCCTCAGCTTGTCCTTGTCAGCGTATTCGCAGAAACATATCTGACACCTGCGGATAGGTGAAACAGAGAGGCAGTTTTAAATCTTCCGGTTCGGGTCGGGTCGGACCGAACTGGACCAGACCGGGTTCTGGACTCACTGGGTGTTCCCGCTGTTGGTCGCAGAGCAGAAGTTTTTGGTTGGAAACCTCTGGATTTCCCTGCGACTCATTTTCTTTGACACAACGGCGCCCTGCCGCTCTTCGAACTCCAGGAGAGCCTGAGAGGAGAAGAAAGGAATCGTGGTAACCCCTTACCGCAGTTACCACGGAAACCAGGCGTTTCCATGGCTCCCTGCTCTGGGGGGAACTTTCCGGAACTTTCCGGAAAGAAAGAAAAAAACAACAACAAAAAAAACCCCGCCGTTGTTCGGAGACGACATTGGGTTCGGCTTGGTTTCTCACCTCGTAGTCGTTCCCCTGGAGATCTTCTGCGAAGTCAGGTAACCTGCTCCTCCTTCGGCCCCGCCCACGCCGCATGTGCTGACCAATCAGATCTATGGAAACACACCAGGTGCATTGGTTAAAACAAACAAATCAGATGCTAGTTTATATCATCTCTATGATGTGTAATAT